GTCGTACTTGATTGTGCTGTTCTTGTGTTTAGTTTGCACTTGCCAGATGTCGTGCTTGATCATGCTGTTCTTGTGTTTAGTGCACACCTGCCAAATGTCGTACTTGATTGTGCTGTTCTTGTGTTTAGTTTGCACTTGCCAGATGTCACACTTGATCATGCTGTTCTTGTGTTTATTGCACGCCTGCCAGATGTCGCGCTTGATCATGCTGTTCTTGTGTTTAGTTCACACTTGCCAGATGTCGCGCTTGATCATGCTGTTCTTGTGCTTAGTTCACACCTACCAGATGTCGTACTTGATTGTGCTGTTCTTGTGTTTAGTTCGCACCTGTCAGCAGAAGCTGCCTAAAAACCCGTTGCATCGGCCGCTGTGTGCTGAATTCACCGAACTGTTTCTCACAGAGCAGCTGAAGCGCAAGACCAGGAGCAAGCTGCGAGCGCAGAACAACAAAGATGCTCCACTGGTAGGTAGCTAGCAACTAGTAGCAGCTAGACTGCAGTATAACACTAGCAGCAGCTGGTTCACAGTTACAACACTAACAGCAGTTAGTTCACAGTTACAACACTAACAGCAGTTAGTTCACAGTTCCAGCACTAACAGCAGTTAGTTCTCAGTTACAATCCTAGTAGCAGCTAGACTATAAGAGTATAACACTATAGTGTAGTACTATAGTAACACTATAAGAGTATAAGACTAGAGTGTAGCACTAGTAGTAGTAGCTGCTAGTTCACAGTTACAGCACTAACAGCTGCTAGTTCACAGTTACAACACTAACAGCAGTTAGTTCACAGTTACAACACTAACAGCTGCTAGTTCACAGTTACAACACTAACAGCTGCTAGTTCACAGTTACAGCACTAACAGCAGTTAGTTCTCGGTTACAGCACTAACACTGTAACAGCAGTTAGTTCACAGTTACAATCCTAGCAGCAGCTAGTTTTTAGTGCAGAATACTGCTTGTATAATTGTAAGTGCATGTTTGCATACGCGATCTATTTGCTACGCGTGTCTACTAGACTTAAATTGTTCTGACATGTATTTTTGTCATGTAGGACGATCTGCACCAGCTAGTGGAGGATGATCAGAGGGAACTGGATGAAGAACCATTAGCTGGTATGTTTAAAATGTTCAACTTCATTAAGCCATTGAATATTGGATTAGTAGTTGTGATTGGTATATTCACAACCAGAGTGAAAAACTGATAATTGGAGGCACTGGTCCAGCAGGACCAGTACCTCTGAGGAAGTACTGGTCCTGGTCAGTAGGCACTGGTCCAGC